TAATCACCACCCTCGGAAGGAAGATGGGGCAAATCTACTTCCGTAGTGCTACTGCCTCGGAAACCCAAGGAGGGGTCGCTATGACTCGGGTCCAACTCGACGGCACATAACAACAACAACAATAATCACCACCACGTCAAGATGCAGACCATTTCCATCACCCCAAAAAGAGTTTCTTCCTTTTACAGCCAGTCTCTACTCCCACTTGGCTGATTCCTATCTGCTTTCTGTCATTGTATGTGTGCCTTTCCTAGAATCTTACAGTAGCAGGTAGACCTTTTTTTGTGTGTGTTTAGCTTCTTTTACTTAGTATAATACTTTGGAGGCTTGACAATGTTATTATGTATATCAGTAGTTCATTTCATGTTACTGTTCAGTTGATTCCAACTCATAGCAACCCAGTAGGATAGACTAGAACTGGTGGCCTCATAGGCTGTAATCTTTGTGGAAGCAGATTGCCACATCTTTCTCCTGTGGAGCAGCTGGTGAGTTCAAACCACCAACCTTTTGGTTAATAGCCAAGCACTTAACCACTGCACTGCCAAGAACTCCATTATTTGTACATTCCAGTTGATGGATATTGTCCTATTACTTTTTTTAAAAAAATTTTATTCTGAAACAATTTGACTTACAGAAGAATTACCAAGCTACTACCAACTTAGAGCTTTCATACAGACTTCCTCCAGTTTCTGCTAACGTTATCTAGTAAGTCTATGGTGCAATTATCAAAATTTAAGAGATTAGCATTGGTACAATAGTATTAACTATGCTATAGACTTTATTGGAATGCTAACTTTTCATTGCATTCAGTTATGTTTCTTTAGTCTTTTCCAGTCTATGACAGTTCTTCAGTTTTTCCATGCCTTTCATGACCCTGATGCTTTTGAAGAGTGCCGGTTAGGTGTTTTGTAGACTGTCTTTCAATTTGTCTGATGTTTTCTCACGATTAGATGTGTTCATAGATTTTTTTGGAAGAATACCACAGAGGTAATATGCCATTCTTATCATATCATATCAGGAGCTGCATATATATAAGTAGTCTTATTACTGGTTGTGTTAACCTTGATCACTTGGTTAAGGTAGAGTCTGCCAGGTTTTTCTCCATTGGAAAGTTATTAATTTTTCCTTTCTGTTCTGTGTGTGTTAGAAGCAAATGATTGCTTTTTAAATTCAGATATACATCAGTTTGCATGGGACACGTAGCTTAGCAACTCCCTCAATCTTAAAAATAATGGTAATAATAGCAAAAATATAACAGCAACAACTGCCACTTATTCTTCTCTGTGTAGTTCCAAAAACTTGTGGATTGTCTCCCTTAATCCTCGTGATACACCTGTGTGGTTCCCACCTGTTTTATAGCCAAGGAGACTGAGGTGCACTGTCCAAGGTCCCACAGTTAGGAAGTGATGGAGTCAGATACTAACTTAGCCTGCTTTAACACTTGTCACGTGGTTGTCTTCAGAGCTTAGAAAGGGGATCTCTCCTTCTCTGCCAGAAAAAAATAAAAGAAAAAAGAATGCTTTCTACGTTTGAAAGTTCTCTCAAATTTTAAGAAATATATTTGTTTTTGTTTTTACTTTCAAGAAGAGTCATTATGTGACTACAGATTTTAGTAAACTATGGATGGCAGTAACATTACTTTCAAAACTTGGAGAAATCCAGAATACTTTTGGGAGCATTAAGAATCTATTTGTGGACTTCTTTCAAAAATCTGATGGCAGTTTAGGGCAGAGTGTTCTGAACAGAACTGGTTTTGGAGAAGGAGTATTTACTTAAAGAACGACACTGAGCTTTTTCCTCCCTGGATTTTATCAACCACTTCTAACAGCGGTGTCTGTGTATCTAAACCCCACACATGTTCACCTCTGTTGACCGCACTGATGACTTCTGTACTAACAGTCAAATGTGTCTCTGAATAGCTTGACTCAGGGGATGGTCACTGCAGTTCAATGATGACTCAATATATGCAAGTGTCTATTCTAGTAGCAGCGTAGCCACTGAAGGTCAGGTAGTGTGGGTGGACATTTGTACATCTTCGCTGTGACTCACTTGGAGCCTACCTTTCAGAGGGTGCATAGCTGTAGGTGGCTGAGAAGCTCTAGTTCATCTCTTCCCTTCCCCTGTCTAATCATACTCTGTGGATTGGGTACCCCCAGATCTTTGAAATCACACAGCTGTTATCTTGAATATGTCTAGTCTGCCAAGCTGTCCAGACAAACAGTTTTTAAAAACAAAACCTTTTTTTTTTTTTCAAAAGGTCATCTTATTTAATCATTTAACTTTTTTATTGTGGTAAAAATATGTATGATAAAACATTATAATTTCAATCATTTTTGTGTATGTAATTCAGTGACATTAATTACATTCACCGTGGGTATAACCATCATCATTGTCTTTAATTTTTTTCATCACCCTTAATGGAGAGTCAATGCTCCTTGAGCAATAACTGCCCCCTTTCTTCCTCTCACCTGTCCCACGGATAAAATTTGGTCTCTTTACATTTGCCTATTCTAGATATTTCTTATAAATGGCATCACACAAATATTTGTCCTTTTGTGTCTGACTTATTTCACTCAGCATAATGTTTTCAAGGTTCATCCTTTTTTTTTTATTGTGATTTGTGTGAAAGTTTACAGAGCAAATTCAGTTTCCGTACAACAATTCACATACACTTTGTCTTATGACACTGACCACACTTTCCCACAATGCAACAGCTCCCCTCTTACTTCCTCCCCATAGTTACCTCTTCCCTGTGTCCTTCCCTCCATGCACTCCTGCCCCCTGAGCTGTCTCCCTGTGCGTACACAGCCCTTCTATTCTCCCATGATTGTTCTCTCTAAGGAGTGCATCTACCTAGTGTAAATGTTCACCTCATATGCCTGTCTTCTGTTTGGGTGGAAGCCACAGGAATGGGTTCAATTTCAGACCTGAAGGACAGCTAGGGGCCATAGTCTTAGTGGTTCCATCAGGCTCTATCAGACCAGCAAACTTGGTCCCTTCTCCCCCACCCCCAAATGATTTTGAGTTTTGTTCCATATTGTTTTACTCTATCCAGGATCTCCTACACAGATCCCCCTCCGAGTGGTTGACAGTGGTAGCTGGGCAACTAGTTCTTCTGGTCTCATAGTCGTAAGTTGAGGATCTCATGGTGTACCAGTTGCTTGGACTAATTGTTTCCATGAATCTTTGGTTTTCTTCATTCTTCTTTGCTGTGGATGAGGAGAGACCCATCGTTGTATCTAGATGGCTGCTTGTAAGCTTTTAAGATCCCAGTAAAGTGGGATGTGGAACAATGTTTTATGTAGTATGCTATGCCAGTTGAGCTTGAAGGGTTCATCCATTTTGTAGCATGTATCAGAATTTCTTTTTTCTTTATAGCTGAATACTATTCCATTGTATGTATATATCACATTTTGTATATCCATTCACCTGTCAATGGACACTTGGGTTATTTCCACATTTGGCGATTGTGAGTAGTGCTGCAATGAACATTGAGTCCTTGCTTTCAGTTCTTTTGGATGTGTACCTATGAGTAGAGTTGCTAAGACATATGGTAATTCTATGTTTAACTTTCTGAGGAACTACACAACTGTTTTCCATAGTGTTGGTACCATTTTACATCCCACCAACAATATGTGAGGGTTCCAATTTCTCCACATCCTCACCAATAATTGTTGTTTTCCATTTTCCTGATAGTAGCCATCCTAAACCTAAATGCACTGCCATCAAGTTGATTCTGACTCATAGTGACTCTACAGGACAGAGTAGAATTGCCCCATGGGATTTCCAAGGTTGTAAGTCTTTATAGAAGCAGATTGCCTTATCTTTGTATTATGAAATACTGGTGGGTTCTGACCATTGACCTTTTGGTTTGCAGTTGAATGGTTTAATCACTGTGCCACCAGAGCACCTTATAACCATCCTAAAAAAAAAAAAAAAAAAAACCCACCAAACTCACTGCTGTCAAGTCGGTTCCGACTCATAGCGACCCCTCCTTGGGTTTCCAAGGTAGTGTCTCTACAGAAGTAGATTGCCTATCTTCCTTCCAAGGAGTGGCTGGTGGGTTTGAATAGCCAGCCTCTGGTTAGCAGTCAATTGCCTTAGGCACTATGCCACCAGAGCTCCTAATAGCCATCGTAGTGGCGATGAAATGATATCTTATGGTGGTTTTGGTTTACATTTCCCTAATGACTAATGACTTTGACATTTCATGTGGTTATTGGCCATTTGTACATCTTCTTGGTGAAATGTCTGTTAGAGGTTTTGCTCATGTTTATTGGGTTGTTTCTCTTTTTGTTGCTGAATTGACAAACAAAACTTTTTGCTTTTAAATGTCTATTGGATGCCTGGCCATATATGCCAGAATCCACAGCTTAAACAATGCTCTGCTCATCACCAAGAGTCTGCCTAGACAGGCATATGCATAAAAACTGTAGGATTTTATTTCATTTAGGAAGGGAGGAAGGTGACTGGGATAAATTTGATGCTTGTGTATTATAATGAGAAGTGTAAGAGTAGGAAATTATTTGGGGAATTGCAAAGGGAGGTCAAGTTTTTGGTTGTTGGGATCTGGCCTAAAAAGTCAGAGAGCTAAAGATTAGATTTTTTTCTCAGATATGTTTTCCTACACATCCATTGTAGAGAAAATAATTTGGTATGAGAAAATGTAAAGAAAGAAAAGGAACTGGTGCATTTCTACCACCAGAAATAGCCACTGTTTTATTTTGGCAAAATCAATCTATCAGTGAACTCTCTCTTACATATTGCAAATATATTTGTAATTCTGCATTTTATGTAACACTGTATTATAAGGATTTTCCCCATCATTAAAAGAGAACAACTTTGCTAATTTGATAAGAGGATAAATAATTTATACACTGTTAATATTTTAGTGAAGATTAACATTCTTATGTTCAGTGTTTACTTAGATTGTTAGCTTTTTCTACTCTGTATCTCTGTATGAAGTTGGAAATGTTATTAAAGTAAGTCTCTGCTTTCAGATGTCCTAAATGATGCTATATTTGATGAAGATCATGATGAGATGGTGATTGTGAAGGACATAGACATGTTTTCCATGTGTGAACATCATCTAGTACCATTTGTTGGGAAGGTAAGGTATTCTTTTTTGTTGTTTGTTTCTACAATTTTTGAAAGCAAAATGAAAGCTTTTAAAATTAGGATAATTATTTTTCAAAAGCTCCTAACTCCTAATTATCCTTGATACTTAGAGTTAGACATATACATATGTATCAGACAACCTGACTAATCTAGTTTGAATTAAAAAAAATAAAGTAGCAGAAACCCCTCAGGGCAAGTATTTCATATTAAATACCATGCTAATAGGTTAAAATCATGAAGTTAGGATGGCAGTTTTTAGCCTAGCAGCTACAGGATCTGAAAACCTTTGCCTTTATTTGGCTGAAAATGTTTGATCCAAAATATACTTAGGTATAGCATGGTATGATCAGTAATGACTTGCAGAATTTCTCGTGACACAGGTTTATATATTGTTGTTGTTGTTGTTGTTTGCCATCGAGTCGGCCCCGACTCATAGCGACCCCTCCTTGGGTTTCTATATTAGTGGGTTTGATTTGTTTCCAACCTTTTCTATAATAGCAAAAATGAATCTAATGCCAGCTACATAATATGTTACTTAATTTGTTGCAATTAAACATATCTTTTAGAACATGTGGGTTTAGGACAGAGAGTTATTAACTGACACCTTCCTCAAATATTATAAATTTATTTTGTTTTGGTTTTTAAAAATAATTTTCAAACACAATACTTATAAGGAATAGTGGACACCTGTATATGGGCATCTATATACCCATCAACTAAATTTAATTTTGCTTCTAATTACTTTATTATTAAAGTATTTTATTTTTTAACATTTTTTTTTAAATAAGTGAAACAAACCGAAATCAAACCAAATTCACTGCCATGGAGTTAATTCCAACTCACAGTGACCCCCTTTGGGTTTCCAAGGTGATAAATCTTTACGGAAGTAGATTGCCCAGAATCTTTCCATGGGAGTGGCTGTTGGGTTGAACCGCCAGCCTTCTGGTTAGCAGTCAAATGCTTTAGGTACTACACCACTAGAGCTCCTTAAGTGAAACATAGACATATGTAAAACTCATAAGAGTACTCTTTACGACCTCATAGATTAAGAACTAGAACATTATTAGCATCCTAGAAGCTCTGCTTTTGTACCTTCCTAATCCCTAACCCATCCTTCCTCTACAGACATAACCAGTGTATTGATTTCTAACACTGTTTTGCTTGTTTTTCAGCTCTGTATGAGTGGAAGGGATCTACAGTATAAACTCTTGTGTTTGCTTCTTTAGCACCATATCACAAGATTCATTGCTATTATCTGTCATTGTAGTTGGGAGCTCTGGTGGCGGGGTGCTGTTTTGGTCACCTAGTACTGCTCTGACAAGAATATACCACAAATGGGATGGCTTGAACAAACAGGAGTTTATTCTCTTACAGTTCAGAGGCTAGAAGTCCAAGTTCCAAGTGCCAGGCTCTAGATGCTGTGTGAAAGTCCCTCAACCATGGGCTTCAGCTCTGCCTCTGGCTCCTGGCTCACTGAAGCTAGATGCATCTTTCATTCAGGCAGCTATAGACTGCTGAGGTTAACAAGCCCAAGGTCGACAAATAAAATGGCACAGTCCCGATGTTACCAAACTACATGGCAGGCCATTAATTCAAGTCCACTGAAAGTCCCAAGGTCAGCAGAGCATGGCAAGCTGCTGAACAACGACATGGCTACATGCAGGGTTCAAGCGTGCCATAAACTAGAGACTGTTCCCCAAGGCTTCTGCTTATACAGGAAGCAGACCATATCCCTAAGGCAGCTACTCAGCTGCTCACAATAGAGTCCACCATGGAGATGATTACCAGTCTCATCATGGGGAATACTACATCTAGCTGCCCAGCCACTCAACCAGGCCTAACCAAGTTGGCACACAAACTTAACTACTACAGGTGCCTAAGGCATTTGACTGCTAACCAGAAGGCTGGTGGTTCAAACCCAGCCACTCCTCGGAAGGAAGGTTGGGCAATCTACTTCCATTGAGATACCGCCTGGAAACCCGAGGAGGGGTCACTGTGACTTGGATCCAGCTCCATGGCAGTGAGTTTGGTTTGGTTTGATTGTTGTAGTTTGCTGATTTTCCTTGGTGTATATTATTCCATTATATAAGCATACTACAATGTATTTGTCTATTTTGCTCTTGGTGGGTATTTGTGTTGTTTTTGCTTTTCTTCTTGCTATTACAAACAATATTGCTATAAACATTGTTTTGGTGCACAGAGGCATGCATTAGCCTGTACCTAGGGGTGGAATGGCAGAATCATATGGTATATCCCTATTCATCCTATTAGATATTGACTTATAGTTTCCAAGGCAGTTGTACCAATTCATACCCCAACATCAGTATATGAGAGTTCCATTTGCTTCACATCCTTGTCAACAATTGGCACTTTCAGTCTGTTTAAGTTTAGCTATTCTATTGGGTGTATAGTGGTATCTCTCCCTTTTAAAACCTTTTATTATGGAAAATTTCAGACATCTGTAACAGTGGAGAGACTAGTATAATGGAGTTCCCTATTCCCATCAACCAACTTCAATGCTGTCAGTATGGGGCCAGTCTTGTTATATTTAGGTCCCTACAAGACTATTTTGAAGCAAATCCAATACATCATGTACTTCTTCCATAACTGCTTTTATTTAAAAGATAAGATTTTTTTTTGTTAGAAACGTAACCACAATTTGATTATCACACCTAAAAAGTTAGCAGTAAATCCTTCAATCTATAAAGAATATAAAATAAGTTATAGACATTATGACATTATGATTCTTCACCACTAATTAGTTAGTTGTTGTTGTTGTTATGTGCTGTTGAGTCAGCCCCAACTCATAGTGACCCCTCCCTGGGTTTTCGAGGCAGTATCACTACAGATGTAGATTGCCCCATCTTCCTTCCGAGGAGTGGCTGGTGGGTCTGAACTGCCAGCCTTCTGGTTAGCAGTCAAGTGCCTTAGGCACTATGCTACCAGTAAGCATCTGTAAAATGACCTTTTCTTATTTAACCTGTAGCAGCACTGTCACAAACAAAATCAACAGTGATTCCTTAATAGCATCTAATAGCTGATCCGTATTTATGTTTCTCTGTCTCTAATGTCTTATTTTCGGTTTTTTTTAAACCAGAATATGAACAAGGTCCACACATTGCATTTGGTTGATATGTCTCTTAAGCCTTCTTATTGTAAAATTGTCTCCTCTGCCATTACATTCTCTTTTGAAGAGACTGGACCTGTTGTCTGGTACAGTGTCCCACCTTCTGAATTTTTTTCCATTACATTCCTGGTGTTGTTTAACTTCTGCTTTCAACCTCTGGATTTCCTATAACCTGGATTAGACCTAAAAGCTTTGTGAGATTAAGGCTAAACGTTTTTGACAAGAGTTGTTCATTGGAGTACTGTGGACTTCCTGTTCCAGCCCATCCCATCAGGAGGCATGCAGTGTCTGGTAATCTGATAATCAGTGTTGCTGAGGTTGTGACAGCAGGGTTTAGGATTTTCTAGAATGAAGGAACTTTGAGCTCACCTCTACCTTTTATTATGATTGAGAAAATTAGGCTCAGAAAGCCTGTGACTTGTCCAAAGGATAGAGGGAGTTAGTAACCTTTGTGGAGCTCATCCAAGGCACTTGATCCTGGACTCAGCCTCTTACCATTATATCTTATGCTATGATTATCTCTATGTTTATGTTCTTGATAACTTTATTATTAAAATACATTATTTAGTGATTTTCTAAAATGGACACAAAGATGACTTAATTTTTTAAGGTAGACCAAAAATAGTATAAACAACAAATAAATTACAGCCCTGCATAAGTATGAAAACTTCAAGTGGTACAGAAGCCCTTGGTTCTATGGGAAAGTTTCAATGCTCTCATTTTTCTAATTTGAAATATTTAACTTTCAGGTGTTACTTTCATCCTGCTGATTAGCAAGGTGATAAGGTGGGATTCTCAAACTTTTAAAGCATAGCACTAATGGAGGAAAAATCACTACCAATTCCTAGATCAATTACAAACATGTGTATAGTAAATATTAGATGAATAAATGAAACAAATGTTGGCAAACCATGATGTGACTGAGTTGATAATTTGATATTGGGTTAGTTGATCACCTACAAATGACCATTTACCTTATTAGCCTTTTTAGGGAGCTTATGTTTTCTCAAACTTAATACCTGACTCAAAAAGAGGTTAACATTAACATATTAAACATTAATCAGTACTTTTAAAGTATTATAGAAATGGCTTTGCCTAATAATAGGTACTCTGAGAACTTAATTCTGAGGGTACAGGTTCTGTTGAGTCATGGTGGTAGCTAAGCAGAAGAGAGTGCTCTCTAGTGGTTTAAAAATGGAACAACCAAACATGACAAAGGACAGAGAGACCTGTGCAACAAGGCTCTGTGGTGGGGCTTTTAAGGCCACTGTGATGGCAGAATGGCAATATTTATGATTTCTGCCTTTTAAAGGAGGCTTTCCTGGATACATTTCAGTATTGCTGCTACAGGATCATATGCATTTCTCAAGAATGTTTCCTCTCAATAGAGGAAAGACTTTCAGATTTGTACCAAGAGTTTAAATTTACCAGGAAATAATATGACTAATTTTTAAAACTTGTCATTTGATTAATAGACTCATTCTCATGTATTTCCCTTTTTCTACATTTATGTAATTTAAAAAATGCTTAGATAAGTGCTTGATTTTATAAGTCTTAAAGGTTCAAGTTTTTTTAAATGCATTTTCATTCTGATAAATTGTATACGAGACGGCTATATTCTTACTATATTTCCTTATTTTGCCACAAGGAGGTGCCATATTTTTACTTGTTGTTGTTGTTTTTATGTGCTGTCAAGTCGGACCCGACTCATAGCGACCCCTCCTTGGGTTTCCAAGGCAGTATCACTACGGAAGTAGATTGCCCCATCTTCCTTCCGAGGAGTGGCTGGTGGATTTGAACCGCCAGCCTTCTGGTTAGCAGTCAAGTGCCTTAGCCACTATGCTACCAGAGCTCCCATATATTTTTACTTAGTTCACAATTTCTCTCTCTCTATTCTGAAGGTCCATATTGGTTATCTTCCTAACAAGCAAGTCCTTGGCCTCAGTAAGCTTGCGAGGTAAGTATGTTGTGTGTTGAGTAGGAAAACAGTTTTATAGGATCTGTTCCTATATGGTGTAGCTCTCATAAGGATTTCTCCCTTCACCAACATGGATTTAACTTGGAAGTCACATTGCTACTTAAACTATAAAGTCATATAGGCAAATGACTCAGAGGGCCTGAAACACAAATGCCCTTTTCTTCTCACACTCCTGTTGCCTGCCTCTGCCCCCCACCTCCCACCTCTTCTTCCATGGCACATTCTTTTCTTTTTTTTAAATTGTGATTTGAATGAAAGTTTACAGACAAATTATTTTTTCATTCAACAGTTCATACACATTTTGTTTTGTGACATTGATTGCAATCCCCATACTGTAACAACTCTCTTCCCACTTCCTCCCTGTGGTTACCTTTTCCCTATGTCTTTCTTTCCTTTGCATTCCTACCTTCTGAGCTGTCTCCCTGCACAAATGCTGCCCTTCTGATCTCCCATGATTGATTGATTTAAGGAATGTACCTGCCTAGTGTAATTGTTCACTTGTAAGCCTATCTATTGTTTGGGTGGAAGTGAAGTCAGGGTCTGAAGGGAGACTGGGGGCCATAGTCCTCAGGGATTTTACCTGTGAAGCCTGGTTTCATGATTGAGTTTTGTTCCACAATTTTCTCCCATTCTGTCCAGGATCTCCAATTTTGATCCCTTTCTGTGTGGTTGGCATAGTAGCCATGCACCATCTAGTTCTTTTGGTCTCAGCATCCACTAGTTCCTTGGACTAATTATTTTCACGTGTCTTTGATTTTTCTTCTTCTTTGCTCTGGACGAGGAGAGGCCAATTTTTGCATCTTAGACAGCTGTTCTCAAGCTTTTAAGACCCTAGTTGCTACTCACTGAAGTAGGACATAGAACGATGTTTTTGTAGTATTGTATCAATTGAGCTTGATGTTCCCCACAACCGTGGTCCCAAGCTTATGGGCCCAGAGGCTCAATCCCTTAAGTTGTTTGGTTGTGGCTAAGAAGTTAGGCTACCTTTACCCATTTTGGCCCTATTACATATGTGGACATTTTATAGCACATATAAATATGTAAGTAGAAATATCATCTGCGGAGTTCTGGTAAGATGACGGAATAGGCAGAAAGACTGCACGGACCCTCTTCAACAAAGAAAAGGGGAACAAATTAACACATATACAGAAGATAATCCTGGACCCTGAGCCTTGAAGGGAAGGATATAGAAGTGGACTAAACTCCAACTAGTGGAAGAATTTACATGAAAACACCAAAAAAGGAGACATACAGAGCGGCAGTCTGGCAGCAATCCTGACAGCACAGACAGCTTAGATATTGCTGAGGGTGGTAAGACCTAAGAATTAACCCAAAAAGCTGCCCAGCTAGCCAGGGATTGCATGGAGGACTGCTCTGGTGGCTGGAGAATGAAAGGGAAAGCAGCGAAGAGGATGGCGGGCTGAGCTGTGGACTTTTATCTGTCTAGAGGGCGCAGCCATTTTGAACGTTTACAAGTGGCTTGACCATTTTAGATATTTAAAGTGACAGTGTTCTCCCAGAGACTTAAGAACAGGCTCCACTTGCCAGTAACCCCAAGGACATTCCAGACCTGGATGACTGGAAAGGTGCAACATTCCCCTTGTTACTTTTATACCCCACACCCTCTTGGTGAACGGAGGTGCAGCCATCCCTTATTACCACCCACCTTCTGGGCCTGCACCCAGTCTGTGTGCTCGGATGGAGCCTGGGTGCCCTGCCCTGCCCCCATGTTTTTTTTCTTTTTTCTGTTTTTTAGTTTGTCTGTTTTAAAACTACTACTATTATTATTACTTTTGTCCTTTTTACTATTATTCTTTATTCTTCCACTCCCAGGTTCTAGTTTTCAGCTTTTTTCTTTTCCTTGTTCCTAGCTGCAATTTTGGTTTTTTTCTTTCTCATGGTTAACCCTGTTCCTTGTTTTTCTCTTTGCATTCTTCTCATTTTTTCTTCATTACTTTCTTTCTCTACCTTTTTTCTCTTATTGCCCTCTCCCCAGATACTTCTGGGTTTTTTTCTTTCTTCTTTTTCCCTTTTTTCTTTTTTTAGTTACTGTTCAGTGTGATTACATGGTGTATTTTTTGTCCATTTGCTTTTACTTTTTGGATGGTTATTCATTTGTTATTTTTGTCTGCGTGGAAGATAGCAACAGACTCCCATATTACACAACTACATCCACACCTCCTGCAGCTTCACAAACTGAGAGCCACCACTTCCTTCTCCACCAACAAGCCAATGATAAATAACCACCAAGAAGAGCCTGAATCACCCTTGGCTGCTCTTCACAAACAGTTAATGTATATCTAAATACAACAATGCCATGATGTCTCAAAGATGACAGACCATCAGAGTCCACACAAAGAAGAAAGATAAAGTGGTAGAAACAAGGGAGCAGGATACAGACCCAGAAAAAAATTCCTGAGGAAGAAGCAGCATTGGAACTCCATGATAAGGAATTCAAAAGAATTATATCCAGGTATCTTCAAAGAATTGAGAGACAGACCAAGGAAAACACAGACAAAACCATAGAAGAATTTTGGAAGAAAATACAAGAACAAAATGACAAAATAAATGAAAAATTAGAAATGATTCTAAATCTACAGATAGAA